TTCCCTACTAGACTCTTAAGTTCTTTGAGGGCGAGATGCATATATTGATCTGTTTTGTTCAAGACCATATCCCCAACATCCCGCACAGTGTCTGGCATGTGAAGATTTTCTAAAACCAGTTTATGGATTGAGTACAGGAATTTACAAGTGCCAGGCACTGTGCTAAACACTACATACATCATTGCCTTTAACTTAGTACTTAAAATAGTATTGTCATTCCTGGTTTTTTTTTTTAACAGATGAAACCACTGTAATTTAAAGACTTTTTAAGTAATGCTATCAAAGCATACAGCTCCTACATGGTAAAGCCCAGATTTGAAAGCAAGTGGACAAAACCCAAAATACTATTAACCACTGGATCTACTGCCTCTATTGAAGTTGATCTTGTTTATTCTTACATCAGTTTCATGAAGTCCTTTTACTTTTGGAAACCTTGCAAATAATTGTTATTTACTGTAATTTGACCTTCTAGGTGGGCGAGAAAAGGTATGTATACTTTACTTACGAAAAGCAAGAGACTAGATTGCTCAAGAAATATGTTTATGGAGATAAACTATTTCTTACTCTTTATTTTTAAATATCTTGTTTTTATATCAACAAAGATTCAAATTGTTATTGATCTAAGCACCTCATGGAAAAAGGGGACAGCAGCTAAGGACTTCCTCAGCTTAATATCAGGGTCCCCTTATAATCATTATCACTCTGGGGTTTACAGTTTTTCTTCTTGGAATCCCTCTGTTAAGTCTGCTCTTTATGAGTACTGTCTTTGACTGAGAACTAGCTAGTTTTGCCTTTGTATTCTTTGTTCTAATACCTGGATTTAGGCTAAGAATACCATAATTTGTCTTTAAATAATGACCATACTCTCCACTGTGGAACTAAAGATATGACTCCTGTAATGATGTCTTTTTCCCTCTAGAGAATCTTTATATTCTTAATCACAGGAGCCACTTCCAGTTGCAATCTTTGTGTACACATTATTTTAATGCTCTCAATAGTTATTCTCAAACTTGGGAAAATAAGTCATAGATTATTTAGCATATACTGCTGGGAGTCCCTACTTCTTTCCAGAAGCACTAAAGTCGCCCTGCAAATAAGTTTTCCCATCCTCTAAGCTCTAAATCATTTTTTTGTTGCTGTTGGGAAACATTTCAAGTTAAAAGAATAATTTGAACTGACATTATTCCATGCTTCCCTGTCCAGAAATCCAGGGCCAACCAACCCTACTGGCATACCCACGCATGCTTAGGGTACCAGTCAAGCAAATGTACCCCC